TAGACACATGGATTACGGGTGAAGTTCTGAGGATGTGAGAAGTAATTTGCTGTGTGACAGCAGGATAGGACAGCTAAAGCCTGTTATAATCAGAAGAAAATCTGAAATCAGTCTCATTAATTTAAGTTTTCTCCAAGGAATATAAAGATAATGGAAAAGTAAAAATGCAAAAAACCCCAACAAAACCCGCAGAAATCACTAGTCTGCAGCAATGCAAGCAAAAGATTGGAGTTGTGAAATCGCGTCAGTTATGTAACAAACTGAGAAGCCAAATAACTGTTGTTAATGTCTCCTACTGAGCAGCTAATCTCTATAAAGCTTTCAGAAACTCGGTGTTGTATAAAACGTTTTTATACAGATTAGCTGAACACTGTCCAACTTTTCCAAATTGTTTGCCAGTCATGCAGCATTCCACAGTCATGTCAATATGGAATTTATATGTTGGGCAATCGGTATGGGAGATACTTAAATAATTTAAGAATAAATTTCCAAAATATATATCCTCAAAAGTCCTCCTCACTTGTCTAACAGATCTAAGCACACTAATATTCTTGCAGTTAAATTCTCTGATCACCATTGGACACTAACACAATCAAAATTTCATAAGTGACTGTCTTACAAATAAAGTCTACAAGGATAAAGAGTAGCCATGTGACGAGCTACTGATGTCCGTCTACCTAAGAACAAGTGGTTAAAGGACTCAATTGTGTTGGTTGCACTCCCAGATTAAAATTCCTCCTTTCCTTGGGAAAATTCGATCTTGTACCTTCTGCCAGAGATCCGTCTGCTTATCAACAGATTATAGTATGTTGGATGTTGGGAATCTTTTACTCTCTCATTTTCTAGTTTGTTCTACCTCATACAAATTCATTAAATATTAATTGGAGCAGGAGCTACAACATAAGATTCCATCTCCAAGGTGAGTGCCATAATCATCTGACAGCTAATAAAAAATTTCCAGCCTAATAAAAAAATCAATTATTCCATATAAATTAAGACTATTTCAATTAAAAAGACTGAGAGATGCCCAATTCTACAGGCTATACCAAATTAAGGATTTGGAAAAGAACAATGAGAGTAAGGAATATTCTTGCACTGAATATATTCAGTATTTTTCTAGTTAAATATTTAGGACCTGATAGTGTCTAGAAGGATGAATTTACCCTTCAGATCTGCCTCCCATGGGATCCCATGAGTAGCAGATCCAGCTGTGTGCCACCCTTAGTTGTCCCATCTACAAATTAATCCTGACACTCTCTAGAAAACTTCACTGCTTCCATCCTGCCACGTTTGTCCTTTCAGCAGATGTCAGGGACATTAAAGTTCCCCTCTTTCAGATCTATCAGGCCCTTCAGAATAGTGCACAGGACTTCTGACATCCTCGCCCTGTTGCAGCCCTAAATAAGTTTCTTAGTTTCCGAACAATAAGGACTAGCAGTCCCCTTTAGTTCTCAGAAAGCCTCAATATGTTAAAAACAAAACCTGGAATTTCTATTTCATGCAAAATTTTGGCATGTTATGCCCAGGGAAAAAAATCCAACCTCTATTTTTTAAAAACTTTCTAATTTTTATGCAAAAATAATTCTATTTTTTAAATTACTCTATTTCACCTTACATACTAAGCTCAAGACATAATTATTTGATCCTGTCTTCTCTAAAACAGCTGAATATAATGAATCCACAGCTTTCTTCTCTCACTCCTCCAAAAAAACTTGAGACTATCTCCTTGAACTTGAGGAGAGAAAAAGGAAAAAAAAAAGAGAGACATATCTGATACCTGTGAATCAATCTGCACAACTTGGGGATGCTGATACATTATGTAATTGGAGCAGTATGAGAAAAGGAATATATCCTCTGTTCAGGTTGTTCCCTTTTAATTTATATTTTAAGAAATGAAATTAAATGAATTTCTGTTCAGTTTAGTCCCAAACAATGGAATTTAGAAAAGTCTCTGTCTTTCATAATCCTTCAAAATTTCTACAAGATTAAAATCTACTCATCTTGCAGCATGTCTACGTCTGGTTCACATTTTCCTTTATCAGCTTAGTTTGTTTGCTAGTATTTATCACACTGTCTGTTTTCTTGAGTTGAGACAGCAGATGTGTGCATGGATTAATTCTATACCAGAGAAGCTCTGTTCATAGTTTCATTATTATTTTAAACTGGATCTATGAATAGACACAGCATGTGATTTTTGTATACTGCAAGTTATTATTTAATGAAAGATTGAAGGAAACAGAAAAAGAAAACAATTTTTATCCCATAAAATAAACTTTGAGGTCCAAATAACAATTTTGTCAATTTTGAGTGGGCTCATGGAAGGGATGTGCTACAGAACTATGTCAATCAATTACTAAAGTATCAACACCCCTATGCACTATACTGCAAAACTGTTTTCCTAATAAAACTACATACTACAACCATATCATGTTTAAAGTTTTCTTTGAGCATAAACTCTCTTCAGAACTGTACTATAAAAATATCTTTTTAAATGTTTATCATGTTCTTTCTAAATATGTTTATCAACCTTAATAAGAATACAACTTGTTTCTTGTATTATTTTACAGAGAAACAGTTGTTAATATTTTATTAACTATTAATATTCAAATATTGTTAACAGGAATAATATTTAATGTATTTTTTAAAAACTAGGACTGAATACTTTTCAAGTATTAACTAAAAATACAATATCTGTTAGTAATATTAAACATAATATGTAGTAGAATCTCTACACAATATACCTAGAACATATAATTAATAAATATAAAATATTTATATACACCTACTGTTGGTGATCCTACTCTGGCAGGGGGGTTGGACTACATGATCTTTTGAGGTCCCTTCCAACCTCTAACATTCTGTGATTCTGCGAAAAGTGTAATCACAGCTGACAGATTAATATTTGCCAAATAACTTATGGCTGCACAGGATAATATTTCATAATTACTTTTACACACTTCCTAATAATGGGAATATTTAATTGATAAGTAGGATATATATATGAATCAACTAATTTCCTAAAAAAGCAAATACTTGTCAAGCTTGGAATTCAAGAACCATAAAAATCTATTTCTGAGAACATATTGTTACCTCTCTTTTTCAAACAAAAATCTTGGAGGCATAAATGCTTAATTCCACCAGGAAAAGGGTTTGATGATAGTGTTGGTTATTTCTATGACTATTACCCTCATTCTTTACAAACAGTATTTCCTTAGACACAGGAAAGGACCATGATGCTTCAATTACACTTCCAGACTTTGAACATGCAGTTAACCCCTGTACTCTTCTCTGAGGCTTTCTTTAGAGGCTAGCAGCATTTCTCTGGATTATACTTCTGGTTTCTTCAGAGTTACTTCTTGTCTTGACAGATATACTCTATTAAAACAATACCCAGCAAAAAAAGTTCTCCATTCTTAATGACCTCACACATAGTTTTGCTGAGGATTGTGACATACACCTGTACTTTGCACAAATGTTCTTACAGATGATATTTAGCTGAAATATAGATATTTCCCTAGAATTATCCCAAATGCATGAAGGCAGGAATACAGATTCTTTAACAGAGAATTAGGAAAACCTTTATAACCATGGCATTCAGAGTCCACCCTGTGAAAGAATGTAAGCCTGCACCGTATGAGCTGTTATTCCATCGCTCTTGTTGCCAAGGTAGAAGGACAGCGGGCCTGAGCAGATCCAGGTGTTTGATGTCTTCCTCATAGAAAACTAGTAGGAGATAGGTGTTCCTAGAAGTGGAGTTTCCGATTATATTTTTGTAGTCCTGACTGATAATAGACAAGAAATACCCAGTTTCATGTACAGAAACCATACCATCAGAAAATAATTTTTAAAACTCCATAAAAATATAAACCTGAGCCACACAGATAACTATTTTAAGTTATTCATGTTTTCTGTGATTCATGATGTGCAGTCACTAAGTGCACATCTTCCATGTGAACTGCATAACAGAAAAAATTTATGTGATCTAAGATGTTCTGCATTGTAATCCACATGACAGTACAGTGCTGAAAATAACTTATGTGGGGGAAGAAATCTGATAGGAATTCAAGCACTAGTAACTATATTAGTAAGTAGCACTTAAAATTAACCTACCGTCTTTATAGTAAGAGAAAGTAGAGTATAGAAATGCTTCTATGAAGATGGTCTTCATTTAGTGACAAGAGGTATAATAACAATAGATAATGGGAACTTTAACATAACACATGCTGCAGGAGCAGGGGCAGAGCTGTAGCAATTAACTATTATTGTTTTTCTTGTAACAAGTCTATTCAAACAATCTGCGTATCATGACTTCATGTTAGGATCAAATTAGCTTAGCTTCAATATTCACTGATGCATTTTATTGCATTCTGACTAAAGCTATATCTTGCAGACTTCTGAAAGTTACCCTTTAATCTACTACATGCAAAATTACATTATAAATATTAAAATATGACAGTGAAAAGTTATTAAATTTATTCCTGAATAATATAGCTGCTTACCCTCAAGCACCAAGTAATAATAATTGCCTCTGAGCAGTAATTAACTGTTAAATAAACAAATAAACTGTTAAATTTTAGATGCTGATAAACAGGAGAAGGAAGCTAAGAAAAACCATCAACTGTTAGCAAAATTTTAACACTAAGGAATTCCATATGAGATAAAGGTACAGTAACCATATTTATAAAACATAAACTAAACAGAGACTATGAGACAATAGTAAAACACATTCTCTTAGAAGAGTTAGAATTCACCTCAATAAAAGGTATCAACAACATCAGTATTTTAAAGATTATTACCAATATAGAAATTACGGATCATGAAATATGTTCAAAGATAGATATTTCTTATATACTTTCAATCAAAGTACAAATTACAGTTGAGAAGGAAGAAAAAAGTACCATCTATTACATACAGAGAAGCTGATGCACATACAAGATAAGTGAAGTGGTGAAGCAGGGAAGAGAATACAGAAAGAATTAAAAATTAAAGAAGACACTTACTGGGGAAAACCACATCACTTTAAGAATCCAAATTGTCAAAGAAAAATTCACAACTAAGATGATAAGCAGGAGGAGAACAAACAGGTAGAGGCAACGCTTTCTCCAGCCATAAATTCCAATTTTGTAGATATATTCATTCTTTGGCCTCTCTAGGCTAGTGCCTGGTGTTGTTGTAGTGTATTGTTCACGTACCATCTGCTATGTAAAGAGAAAAAAGGGACTGTTTAGTTGTTTGAGTTAAATTAAAAATATTTATACAAAACCCCAAGGAAAATATGAAGATATAATTGTAATAGCAAGTAACTGGAAACAAGAAACTCTGAAGGAGTTTTACCTGGAAGGCATTTTCATCATGTCCCATTCAAATTACACTTACATCTTACTTTTTGGTACACACAATGTGATGTTTTAACAAATGAAGTCCATTAATTGCCATTTTCAGGAGGCTTAAATTTATTTTATCCCATATAGAATGGCAACAATTTCCTCTCATTTTTCATAATATTCTAATTCTCCCATCACAAAAGATTTCATAGGATCATATAATAATCCATAACTTACAGAACAATATTATTTTACTGTAAAAATAGTTACATGTGGTAATGGTACCTTGTAAGCACAAGTTTAAAAACACTTCTACATATTCTTCTTCAATTCAGAAATAAAATGCATTCTTTGTGTTGCAAAACTTAACTGTGTATCACTGGAATGTCAAAATGTGTTAAGCTTCAGAATCTGTATATGAAAAAATGAAATGATTCTTAATAATGTAAAGGAAATAATACTTTCTCAATTTATCAGATATTAATATTTAAAGATATATTAGCAATAAAAACATTACTTAGTGGGTTTAAACAGTTTCCTTCACTTTATACTATAGTTCTTAAAGAAGCATTCTTTGAATTTAAAGAAATATTACCAGATTGCCCTTCCTTAAAACATGAGGATATTCACTAACTTTCACCTTTACAGCACAGAGATCAGCAACAATTCAAACGAATCATTAAAGCTTCTAATTTCAGCTAAGACAATAAAATCTCAGCAGTTGAAGCTGCTTATCTAGAAAAACATTGGGCAACATCCACCTCATTTCCACTGATATAAAACAAAAAAACCCCACCCAAACCCAAGCATGGATGTCAAAAGAAAATAGGTACTGTAAGTTCAAGCACTTCCCATGAGTCAGGTATATCCACAGACATCTTGGAGCCAAAAACTGGTTATCTTTCCTACAACACAATGTTCCCAAATGAGAATGCCTTCAGACAGGTTTCACACAAGGTCTCCTCTCAATTCTGAATTTATTCTTGGGAATGGGATGACTGTGCTCTGCTCACACAACTTTAAAAATGTGATTAAATTACATCCTTGCCCAGCTGCTGAATTACTCTAAGTCATTAAAGAAGCTCTCCTCATGTCTCCTGCAGAGCCATCCTGTGTCTGTAACAAGCTTGTGGCTCTCAGTTCTAACCCTCAGCTTTAGAAATACCTAATTTTTTGTTCCTGTACCTTCCTATCAAAACTACAAGACAGAGAATGCAACGTAAGTTTCAGCTGAACAGAAGTCCATGCATTATCTCTTTGCATATATGCAGTATTAATCTTATTTCTGCACTTCCACTCAAAAATCTTTTAATTTTTTGTTTATTTATATTTTAAAATGACATTTGATCATCAGCAGTTAATAATGTAACCATCCTACAGCCATTATGGGACAATATGCTAATTAATTTGTTGCTATCAGTCTCAGTTGCTCATAATACTGTGTATACAATCTTTTCATCTGCTGAAAATACTGAAGATAGTACCATGACTTATTAGTGGAGAATAATAGATTCTTAAATAACTTGGGTTAATGTTACTGCAAAACATTATAGATTTACCAGGTGGTACTTAATATTCACCACATGATCTACATTTGTTTAAAACTATCAGATTATATTTTTCAGTTCCATGTATTACTCAAGTGCCTAGTACTGAGTACAGGATACTGTTTCTATATGAGTTGCTACTATTTTTTTGCTGTTTTCCCACTAATCATTGTACAACAAACCGTATCACTCACATAGACGTTGCCCTTTATCTTAAACCTACTTTGCCATGCTCTGCCAAGTAAGACAAATTGGGACATTTATACATACAATGGGCTCAATAAAATGCTTAGAAAAACCTTTACCCTTACCTCCACACAGATTTCTCCTGAACGCTGTAACTTATGGGATAGGAAGCAGTAACTGTTATCCGGTGACGCCAACAGACAGACTTTGAGAAATAACCCATGCAGTTCTTGCTCAGGTATAGTAAAACTATCTAATACCCTAACATAGGGTATCCTCTGAGTTTTTTCCTGTTTCCTTCATTACACGTACTTGTAAATGTCAGTATAACAAGAAACAAGATAGATGACAGCTACAGAAATATCTGTAGCAATAGAAACCCCCTTCACAAGACAGACTACTTTTTTTCTTCTTTTTTTTTTTTTTTTTTTTTTTTAAGAACACTTGGAAGGTTATTTCGGTAGAGATGTGGGAAAACAGACCATTCTTCCAAAACTGCATAGTCTCATGAAGTTACCTGAGCCTTCGACAACAAATCTCTAGCTGTGGCACCTAAGCTTTGCCTGTTACTTGTGTTGCTGTCTACTACATCTTCAAGGTAAATTTTGCAGTAGAAAAAACATTTGATAAAGAGTGAAGAAATTCTCAGATCTTCCTGTTTTTACAACTGTCTCATTACAGTGGTCTCTGATGTCAAGACTCATCTCACAACATTAGATACCAACAATTTAGCCTTCAAATATCTGAGTCAGTCACCCTGGAGTCCCATTATAAACCTAACCCTGCTGGGAATTATCTGACTTTAGACATATATGTGATTCTCTGACCTGCAATGAACTGCACCTTAGATGTGTTAACTCCTTTCCACAAGAAGAGAAATAAGGAGAGCCTGGGATGACTTTTTCATATGTACATATCTACATGTTTGAGACATAAGCATTTGGTCAAATTCATTCCAACCAGAATGATTTCCAGAAGCATGTAATTTAACAAGAAGGTAGGATTCTTCTCATTCCTGTTCTCCTCTGTTCCATTTTTAACCTGTTGTAAAATGTGTATTGTGTGAGTTGAGGGTTTTATATATAATGTATTATGTACTGCTGTTTAATGAGGCGAGGCCAAAATGCATTATGCATTTCACCAAAAAGCCTATGAGTTTTGTGATTGTTTTCAGCCCTTCAGAAATTCCACAGGGGACATCTCCCAGCAGAGCATTTTTCCTTGCACAAATGATTTTTTCCTTACAGAAAACAGTTCTGTTGTTCCTAAGCATTACTAATACTGCCAAAAATTGCTTTGGTCCCAGCAAATGGGTAATGCTGGCCTAGACAACTGACTGCTTTGAAAAGGATTAAACTTTTCTACTTAATATAATATTTCATTATTTTTAGGAGAATTAGTGGTCCCATATTAAGTAATTGCAGGGGAAATCCTTTAAGAATTGATACTGTTGGACTATTTCTTCTGGAAGAATCAGTTTACCGTATTACTTACTGACTTACACATTCATGAGCTGAAATCACATAGAAGAATAATCTCAGACCTGTCTGGAGAAGTCAGAGAGAAATTCTTTTATAGATTTGGGTTATTTTAGGTAGCTGGGCTGAAAGTAAAGCCTTAGACAGGCAGATCTCATAGTTGGCTGGTGAAGTCTGTCAGGATTCAAGGGACACTCTTAGAAGGAAAACAACAGTTCTTTAGTACTAATATGAGAAATGTGATTTGGAAATGGAATAACCATGAAACTGTAAGTTGGTTGTGTAGGAGCTTACTAAACAGACACCAAGAAGGAAGTGGTTACTTTTTAATTTTTGCATACCTTACTAACATTTTAAGAAGTAGCTAGTTTCTAGTATGAGAAATCCTGTGTCTTTCATGTATAATTGTACTTAAGTACAAGAAGCGTACTCTAGCTTCTTCAGTTGGAGAAGCAAGAAGTTTGCACAATGAACAATGACTCCGATAACTGTTATCTTTATATTCGTTTACAAGGAGGCAGCACACAGTGACGAACTGCACAGAGTAAGAACAGCCTTGGCAAATTATAGTGCAGATAAAATGGCAATTTAGTTTCAGAATTAAAATTCTGACATCATTCAAATGGGCCATGAAAACATGTATTTGGATTGTGTCAGCAGTACCATAATAATAATTTAAAAAATCTTCTGGTTAATTGGACATGGAATTTCTTGGTACTCCTACTGAAGGGCCCACACAATTTAAACTCAAATAGGATTAAGGTCAAGTACTCATATATTCCTTACAGATTATTGTATTTGTGGCTATAATTAATGGGATTGAGCTCTATCATGGTAGTTTGCTATTTGAAAGCATTTTCCTATTGTCATAATCTGTTTTACTGGGATTAATTTTTATCCAATTACTTCTTGCCAATTTGCTGATTTAAAACAGATACTGAATGCTAATTAACTGTCAAAAGATTTGTCATAGATTTTAAATGCCAGATTTAACTTGTGAATTACTTGCACACTGCAGATATTTTAACTGAGATTTCTCATGTGTTCAGGGGTTACTTGTAAGTGTTACACGTAATGCATGAAATTCATACCTATATGAATACACAGATGAGCTGTGAGAACTACTCTTACAATCTTCATATAGTATCTTCATGGAACATTATGTTCATTAATGTTGTTTTTATATAATCCATTGAGCTAGATGGGTATTATTATATAGTATGAACATCAGAAGTACATTAAGATTTCATACTCTGATGGCATTCAGGCATGCACACATTTGTCTTTGTGGAGGACAGAGACAGGAAATAGGTGCTGGAATATTTTCCTGACAGAGGAAAAACAGTTGAGGCAAACCTGTTGTTCAAATAAAAAAATTAGAGAAGAAGGGAAACTTTCAGAATCCATACAGAAAAGCTTTCATGACAAAACCAGAAAGGCAAGAAAAACTCAAACTCTCATGACTAGATGAAAATTTTCTAATTCCTTTCAACCCTCCCTTGTTCCAACATACTGTATTTAATCTTGCCCAGCCTTTCTTTGCTGAGATTTGTGTATTATACAGTATATTACAGTTTGAATTGAAAACTAGTCTCATTGGCTAAAAAGAGTTGGATCCCTGCAGCATGACTTGTGGAAACCTGTAATTCATATGGTCTAGTTAACTGTTTG